TCATGATATGGTTTGGTTATGTGATGAGAGGGAAACATGAAGATGAAACCAGGAGATGTCCTTACTGAATCATCAGAGCTGTGATGGAGAAACAGGTTTAACTTTTAGGTGACATGAATGAGTTGAAGGGAAGTTATGAACTGTTTCTGAGAGACAAATAACACCAGGATTCTTTTTTTTATGTAGCTGACAGCTGGTAACTGTGCAGGGATGGATCTGGCAAAGTTTTGGCAGGAGGGCCAGGTTGGGCATTAACAGGGAAAGGGGGGCACAAAGAAATACTTTCTTATTCTCTTTTAAAATGTCGGGCTAAATAATTATCTGAAGCTTACAACCAAAGTTTTTATCTGATGTAAAATGTATAGAAATCATACATATACCAACAAGACTGTACATCACTGTCACCACAGTGTTTGCTTTCATTCAGAGTCTTTATAGCTTTAATACCTGGTGGGCCGGTCTTTAGTCAAAATGCCTGTTTTTTTGTCCCGATCCAGCCCTGGGCACGACACGCAGTGAATTAATCTGAGAAGGTGCATTAAAAAATAAATGGCCACGTCAACGGTGCACATCGGAAATCAACTCGCATAGATACATTAGTTGTGCCACTTCTTAATGATAGTATCTTAGCTAACAACCCCAACTACCAGATTCAACTTGTAATTGGCTAAAAATAACTTAGCCTACCGGTGAGAGGGACGTTGCTACCTTTCCACATTCCGACACTTCAGAAGCTTCAGGAGCTTTCCACTCAGCATCAGCACCAGGGAAATACACGGATGCATCCGTAGACTCGAGACAGAATTCACAATGCGTTTTTGGGACTTTCAGTTGTATGGACCAATGTTTTATTTTCTGATCAAACCAGAAATCTTTAATGAGCAGCTAGATTTGTCTCGCATTAGCTGGCTGAGTTAATGCCAGTTAATGCAACATCGAAGCAGCTGGAATCCACAGCTGTGCGTGTTCATGGAGCTTGCATTTTCACCTGCTGGACACTACCTGACAAGTTTAACTGTCTTCAGAACATTGCGGGGGCCTTATTGAAAGTATTTGGCTCTACATATCTGTGTGAGCAGATTTTCTCTCACATGAGTCTCTGAGTCTGTCTCTGTCTCTGAGTGGGAGGCCAGAGATCACACTAACATGTGTGTCTCTGTATTAACAGACATGCCATATTGGCTTAGTTTATTTTTGTTATCATTGTTGTGAGGAGACCATAAATAGCATTTGCATTTTCTGTTGTACAGTTCATTTGCTGTTATGGAGTTCTTGTTATGGATAAAAAGTTTTTGTTTCAAAACAGCTGATAACTATTCGCTGATAGCTGCCAACATCTGCAAACTAATATCATTCTATAAAGTGGTTTTATATATTGTGTAGCTGTTAATATAGAGTGTTATTAAATTTATTGCTAATGCAATCATATGGCACACTGACTTCTGAGGAAATTTTAGATGGCACTCACCATCAGAAAGGTTGCCTACCCCTGGTTTAGGTTGTCTCAGTTGGTTTTAATCTTAATCTTAAGACTTAATAATGTTGAGGTCAGGATTCTGGATTGCCACACTATGTGCTGCAAGACCCCTTACAACCAAAGGTCTTTTTTTATGACTTTAAATATTTGAAGCACCTACGACTTGAACAATTATGTAATTATGAGTCCATGCATCATTCATTCCCTTCTGCTTATTGAATACAAGGTCATGGGGCGGCTGGAGTCTATCCAAGCAAGAGGAAAATTCCACTAAAATACACAAACGAGCAACAATTGGAACAAGCCCCATGCTTAGATGAAAATCTTGTGTCAAGCCCATTTAACTCAGAAGGTCTGCACATTATGCCCTGACATGTGTAATCCTGCTAGTTGGCATTATATAAATAAAACTAAATTGAACTGAATAAAGTATTCTGTTGAGTATCTTGAGCTATTGAATATCTGCCCTCAGACCGTCTAGGCTGCAGCACATAAGTATTATAGCTGCAATCCATTTTGAGCACAAGGTTTTTTTAGATTTAAACAGACAGCTGGAATCTACTTCAGTCCTCCATGGCCTTATGCAGACCGTCTCTCTGGCATAACTCTGACGTGGACAGTGCTTGCCTCTACAAGCTGACAGTAGTGAGGATTGATGTTGTGTGCTTTAGTATCAGATGCCCAATCATGTCCTTCCTGTTGTTCAGCCAATTCCAGGCTCCCATTCTCATTACACCCCCAAACCAACTGACTCAGTAAATGCTGCAAACTGGGCCAGGCCCCATGACCCTGCACACAGTGTCTCAGGTCTGGGTCAACAACAGGCAAGACTCATGTGCTCATGTACTGAAAAGGACATAAATGACAAGACTCACTCGGTGTTGGGCTCAACCTTCAGGAAAGCTTGGATGACCAGCGGTAACTCGGATTTAACAATGTAAAGGTAGCTGGACATAGCTGTAACAAGACAAGACAGGGGAAATGTAACATGTGGTGAAGTAAACCACAGTGCAAGTACACACGCTAACCAAACAGACATCAGAAAAACCATGACACAAGTACACTTACCACATCATGTTTACATAGGTGACACAGCCGTCGCTACTACTGTGGACACTGTGGTCACGTCCTTTGTACTTTTGGGAAATTGGATGTTTTACTAACTTTTACTACTTTCAGTATTTATCGTTGGCACCAAAACTTTATTGCTTTGAAACAGGTTTAAGATTATAACTTTGCTGAGCTGGGACGATAGACTCTGTTACCTTTCAAGCAAAAATGTGTATTTGTTGAAAAATAAGGTCAGTTTTCCAATGACAATTATGCTATGTAGCTTCTTTACAGTGCAATTGTTATACCTATGAGTAATATCTGCAACTGTTTTGGTTAGAAGGAGCAGGTGAAGTTAGTGGTAGTGAGTGGTATGACTGATCACAGTGACATGCTTATGCGTTTACGGCTTGCATTAACATATTTTCCCCTTTTCAGTTATCTGGATACAGATCGTACCAGATCTTACCACGTAGCAGCAGCAAACTAGTTATGAAATCAGTATGGGGTTATCTCAATTATGGACTAATTTAGAGCTTAAGAAGTTTTGCGAGGCACATTAAAATCACATTAAATCACATCACACTAAAACATATAATCAAGCTCTCCTACAATAAATAATTAAGTACAAGATAGAGCTGAAAAATGCATTTGAGAACATTTTTAAAGTCAAGTTTAAAGAAAGAGTGAAAAAAACAAACCAAAAAAACATCAATGACTGTGATAATCTAAGGTGACTTTCACAGATAATTTTCATGTCTTGACTCTGGTCTTAGGAAACGCCACTGTTGCCCGATGACACTCACAGGACTGACTGCTTCAGTTTCACTTGATGAAATGTTTTTGTTGTTGTAGGCCATGAAATGCTTTAAATGTAATCATCAAATGTAATCTTACAATCAGTACCAAAGCTAATCGTTAGTGAAGAAAGGAAAGCAGCTTTATCTTTTTGAGTCTGTTAGTAATCAAGCAGCTCCATTTTCAAGTAACTGCAGACATGGGTTTTTTTTCTAACAACAAAGGACCAATGATGGAGCATTGTGGAACGCCAGAGATCATAAAAACTTACTGATTTCTGAATATGTTCTTTTTAAAAGGTACAATCTAAACCAGCCTGAGAAGCTATAGGCCTAACTCAAGTGACTAGATTAACTGTGGCTGCTTCTTTGCTTAGAAATGGTTAAAATCTGTGTTAGAATTTATTTAAAAAAATATATATAACTCATACTGATGACTGATTATGATTATTTTCTTTTCAAAAATGGTGTTGTGATTTACACACACTACCCCTTATGACAAGGGAGCAGCAAAAAAAGTAGCTTTCTTTAGTGATTTTAATAATTCTGAAATCAACAGGGTAAACTGTGGCTTTTTTCTTAAGAAGCTGGGTTGAGTAGTTCATGCTTGAGGAAGAAGGTATGACCTAGTTTGTCTCAACAACCCAGTAAGAAGAGCAAATCTTTTTAATGTCAAAATCACAAGGAATACAGCTACTTATAAGCAGCTACTTTATTGTTAATACTCTATCATATCCCAAACTTATAAATAGGACCAAAAGCCAAAGTAATACTAATGGCTTATTTGACTATAGTTATAGGGTCTTTACCGTACAGTATAAGGCACCTTGAAGTGATTTGGTGCAATAAGCATATAACAGAATTGAATTGAAGTGAAATCAGTTTATAGCTTCAGGCCAGTGGAAGAACACATGAGCGAACATGTTCCAAACCTACACTGTCTCCTCACCTCCAATATTTTGCAGGGTGATTGCTGTGCCAGCAGCTATTTTTCCAAGATTGCCAAAGGCCCTGTACCCCAGCTGTTCATAAGCTCGGATTCCTGTAAGCAGATTACAAACAATCACAAATGTAGTTATATTTGCTATGATCTCTGTCCAAGGAACACAACGAGACGCTTTCAGAGGGGTTGACAAATGACTGCACAACTTAGATAAATAGAGAGTACGCTGACATGACTTTTTTTCTAGTTTTAAAATTTGCCTAGACAATTTTAACTCAGCGAAACCTCAAATTACAGAATAAAAAAACAAAACAAAATGTCTTTATTTAACGAGACAGGGCATTACACAAGTCGCGATGACTGAAAATCAAATCCTTCTATACAAAATTGACTTTTAAAAATACATTTAAATTATGAATACTTTATTTGTTGATAAAGTTTTTTTCACATAACCTTTTTTTCAGTCAAGCACTCTTTGACATTAAGCGGTTTTTGATCTTTTTAACTTTATAAGCTGTCCTTTTCTAATGGCAACCACAATAGCAATCTCCAGGGGATTTTCGATGTGAGAACTTTACAACATGTAATTGTACCATTTCTTTTCAAAACACTGAGAAATGACACAATGCTTACCCACAATGCCTGAGGATTTGAGCAGCAGATGAATAGAGTAGGATGACAGAGCTGCTACCGCAGTCAGAAGAAACCTGTGACAAAAAACAAAAGTCACACACTCGTTATTTTCTATACCACTATTATCCTGAAATTTGTTTTTTGATTCATGATATTTTGTGGTCATAAATTAGCACTGACTGCATCAGCTGATTGTGCCGCACAGTACATATGACCACACAAGAAAAAATCCGTTTCTGACTCCAGGTTTTTTATTTCGGTAAACCACCTGTCACCTGTCTCAAACCCGCTCTCCATACTAATCTCATTCATAAAGTGCTTTACAAATCCAAGCATTATGGCTAACAGGTGGATTTTCCAGTTTGAGTGCAGCTAACCAAACAATGAAGAACCACTTACTGCTTTAGAGCCAGAGAGTGACAGCTGGACAGCATATCCTCACTTTTAAGATAAAACTCATTGATATAGCCAAGGGCAGGACAAAAGTGAAAAACTGATGTTTTTTATATTTCATTTTATTTTACTGTTCTTATTTTAGGCTCCAGCACCCCCCGCGACCCTGGAAAGGATAGGCGGAAGTGACTGGGTGGATGGATGTCCTTATTTTCTCCTGAGTTATTAGTTTTGTTAGCTAACATAAACTAATGTAAGTCTATTGACCGCAAAAAAACCTACCACATGATGTCACGTTCTCTACTGGCACAAGATGGCAATAAACATGTTTTAAAAACTTGAACTTTCAGAATCAGAATGCAATCCCGAAGGATTAAGCACTTATTTCTTAAATCCAGCTACACAGGCAGTGTTACATCTGTCAGCTTTTCATGATGTAAATTAGCCTTTATATGTGAAGTGTTTATATCAACTTTAATTGCAACTGTTTAAAATACTTATTCCAGCCAGATCTATAAACCTTGCAGTATCATGTATTTTCAGTAGTATTTTTTCAGTCTGGATAGCTGTTTCAGTGGCTGAAACACCTGTTCTAGCATTAATGTGGTTATAATACAGACATCTATAAACATACTTATTTTGCTGTACTTATTTATTACTTTTTTTTCTGTATGTGTTAAATTTGGCTTGATGTAATATTACATTCTAATTATATTTGTGCTAATCATACACTATACAGTTCTAATGCAAGTACTAATAGGAAGATTCCATAAGGCTATAGGTTCCTTCAGTACAAGAGCTACTCTGTATAAACTAAACTGACTTCCTGCTTTCACCAGACGCTGAGGCCATTTTCTGCTCCAGTCTCACTTCTTTGCAGCTACTTAAACATAAACTATATGACTAGGAAAACCTGGGTCATGGTCTAACAGCAGCTGTCTGTATGGATGCCTCTATGGGGTCTGGAGGTTCAGTTATTCTGAGCTGTGGCCTTTCATTGGCCTATGTGGCAAGGAGGCTTGGGGCCTAAGAGAGGCAATAAATAAAAGTGAACCAATCTTGGCATATAATGTGTTGCAAGACATTAAGACATATAATAAATCAGTACTATTTATAAATGCACTGAAAAAGCAGATTACTTTGAGAAGTACAACTTAGTTTACCTCCTTTCAATTTAATCACTGCATATCAGTAGAATAGCAAATCTTAAGGTCAGAAAATTGTTGGAAAAAGACTAATTGTTTTTGGGGGTTTTTTGCTGACAGGTGGGAAGCTGTCATACATTTGTTTGTTCAATATAAATGTGGGGCCAGACAGCATCGCTTAGGATGACTCCTTATACCGAGATCTCTGTGATTCCCTACATCCATGTGAGAATTCCTTTCCTAGGTGAAGATATTTCCTGAGGTCTTCACTGGTTTCTTGGCACTGCCATGAGAACATAGTTCTAAGAATTAGTCTCAAAATAGTTTTCCATATGCTAGCTCCATAGTGTACTGGTTAACACATTTCCTTAATATACAAAAGATCCCTGTGTTGAGACCAGTAGGGGTTACAAAACCAGCCTCAAGAGGTCACAAGCCAGTCTGCTCCCATTTGGGAGTATTAATGGGAGAATTGTGCCAGAAAAGACATCCAGTGTAAAATATGTAGATCCATCCATAAGGGAGGCACTGAAACTACCTGCTACAGATCTTTCTATATGCTGATAGATATAGTCTTTTCTTTTGACAGTGCAAGAATAGACTGTCCCCATACAGTAAAAGCTATTGTACGAGGCTTGAAATAATGATTGTATCAATCTAATTAATGATAAAAGGTGAACAAGTATCCTCCTCCAAAAGGAATGTTTAATTAAGACAATATTTGTTTTAAAACTCATTTACTCACCAAAAAAGGAGTATCCCAGTGTTGGCCATGGCATAAGCTAAACCCAGGATTCCACTACCCATAATAGCATTGCCCAAGTTGAAGACCGACATGCCAAAAGACGTCTTTCCTTCAAACTGTAAATGCAATATAAACAAATAAATAAAAAACAGAGTATACATTAAATGCCAATTTAAGATAAAACCTAATGTTGTTACCTATGTTATATAGCTATAATTGTTGGGTTTCTCACTTACATCTGTGAAACGTATGGGTTTCTTTCCGCCTTCGTTGGGCAAAAATTCCTCGTTCTCCAGTCCATCATCAGGCTCTTCATATCTAGAGGCCAGATTTGCAGGTGTTAATTGATGGCATTTCCATCCACCACTGAGAAAGTGAGCAAACATCGTCTGCAGACTCTAGCAAATCATGTGCTTTAAAGGTGACGTAATGAGCAAATATGTAGCTGAAAACCCTTGACGTAAATCTCTGCAAACATACCTGACTGTTTGAGTGCCATTTCTGTATAAGGATCCACCAGTTGAGGCGAGCACAAAAACAAGGTAAACATGCATTTAAAAAAGCGAATATTATTTATGAAGTTATACTTTATGTGGTTCACCACATCTGTTATCTTGTTTATCATTTTCAATGTTAATGGAGAATTATCATAGTGGCAACAGTAAGCAAAAACAAATCAAACATCTGCTTTTAGCTTTAGCAGTGACATTTGAATTTAAAAGAATATTGGATTTATGAGATTGTGGCTTTCACACAAGTATAACTAGAGAAAGACGAAAAGGAAAGCGTAAAATATACTTGCTTCAAGCTGTATTAAACAAAGGCAGCCATTCATAAGGAAAGAATACTCACTGATCCTCATCTAGCATTGTTTTCAATGGCACACCCACATCATCGCCGAGGTCACGACTTTTCCCGTTTGATAATATGTTCATCTCTGATTGAGAAGGCTCCATAATTCAAGCTCTGTTTGGTGTATGCGTTCGATTAAAGCAGTTCTTATGAGTGACTTGAATATCTAGGGCAGAGGTGGAAAGAACATGAGTCAGATAACATATCAGACAAGAGGCCTTATTTGTTTTGGATAAACCATTTCATAAAGACAATGTACACTTAACATGCTTAATGGCCCTCAAGACATGTGGTTTCAGCCAGCCTGTTGTAGACAATCAGCTACTTTGTAATGCTTGTGGAAACACAAGCTTTCTCTAAAAGTTCATAGACTTTTGATTAGTCCATGTGAAAAATATCCTTATATACATCTCTGCAAGTTTGTTAAACTTGAAAAGGGTGGACCTGAAGAAACCCTTATATACAATCCTTCTTTTCAGAGAGGGCCTAGAGATATGCTGTGGGGCTGCCTTTGTCTGTGCCACGTCACTGAAAGCTAAACTTTACAAGCCACAAACAAGTCATTTGTTTTTGCCTAATTTTCTTTTTTAGAAATTGGAACAAAATGTTGTGTTCATGACGTTATCAAATTTTTCTATCCAGAATACATCTGTACAGCACAGGAATGAGTCAGAGTCAACAGAGTGACGTTCAACACGCCTGACAACAGGATCTGACCTCATTTGTTCTTTTTCAGAAGTTTCTGCAGTCCATACACTGAACTGCAAATAATGAAATGTGAGGATGAAATATGACGATGCATGTTCTGCTTTCCAGAACTTCAGAATGGAGCAAAGCAAACAAGTCAGGATCACTAAGGCAAAGTCCACAGTCAGAGTACTTTTTTTTTATTACCGTATTTGCTCTTGTCTTTTATATTCCAGATCCCTCGATTTTTAGTGCTACTGCTGACATCCCCACACAATGACACTGTGGCCTTGATGATGAATATAAACATGAGTATGATTAAACGAGATGCCAGATCACTCACAACAAAATGCTTCAAATAACAGAGAAAGCGCTTTCCAAAGCAGCTATTATGAGGCTACTATAATTATATAGTTTAACAGTAGCATCAGTGTGGGGGATGCTGTATTCACAGTTACAGTCAGAAGAGAATGTCAGAGTATTTGTCATTTATCATTAGCAAGCCTGTAATTAATGGCTCTTTAAAATTTGCCTCGGACTTTTTAACAGAAATAAATACTCTTCTATACTTCAGTGAGAACTTAGACAGACAATGGTGTGTTGTTAGTAGTTTCCGCTGTGACCAGGGTAGATCAGCTCAATTGTGTTCACAGTGTCCTCTCTGCCAGAAGATCACTGCTGTGGCTATTCATAGTGTACAATTAAAGAGTGTCATTGATACAATGCCACTGAAGCTAGGAAAGACACTTGAGAGGACACTGCGTGCTGCTTCACAATACAATCGGGTACTGAGCTCTTCAAATTTATGAATACCTTTCATCAATTAAAAAAAGAAGAAGATCTAAATCTGGATTTTAAATTAAAAAGAAAAAATACCTAACATTACTGATACCTTGCACCATGTTATCTGGTGAGTCAGTATTTGCTCAATGATACCACGTCCCTTAACGTAGCCTCAATCCCCTAGCCTAAAAACCCCTGATGTAAACACTTCCTGTTGCAACACTGGCCTTTGACAGCAATTATTTCCAGTGAGGTAAATTCAGAGGAGAAAATGTTGTGTGAATGCTATTTTCAAATTGAAATACACTTTGTGATACAATTTATGATTAGTGTTGGCCATCACACGAAAAGCAATCGCAAACAAGCAAAAATAAATCAAACTTAGAAACGTAAACATGTAGAGCTCAAAATGTTGAGCCTCTCACGGTGAGTGAAACTACAGTCATTATGTTTGTTCATGAACAACCACAAAGCATGGGATCACTGAATTTACAGTAAACACAACAAGAGCCTATTGTTTTGTCTCGTGACTTTATCATGTTTATACCTAAATACAGCAGTGACTGTTCTGTTGTAGTCTTCTATATATCTAAAACTCAACATATATGTCTTGACCATAATGCACAGCACCATGCATGGTGAGAACAAAATGCAACAATGCAACATATCAGCTGTCAAACACAGTTGTCAAGATCATTTGGGCTTGCTGTTTGCCACAGGTCGTGGGCACCTTGCTGTCCGTATGCCAGTACTCTAAATGTGAGGCCATCTGTCCTACAGCAAAATCTTGGCCCCAACTTGGTCATACAACTGGATAATGATCCCAAGCACAGCAGCAAATCTACAGCAGAATGGCTAAAAAAAGAAAAGAATCAAGATGTTGCAATGACACAGTCAAAGTCCAGACCTCAACCTGATTGAAATGCTGCTGTGAGACCTGAACAACTCTGCCCATAAATGAATGGTTACAAATGTAAATGAACTGAAGCAGTGTTATTAAGAGGAAGAGTGGGCCAAAATTCCTCCTCAATAATGGAAGAGACTGATAAAGTCAAACGGAAAAAGATTACTTTGAGTTATCGGTGCTAAAGGTGGATCTACTGAAACATAGACTACTCTGTGTTTCACAGGGCTGCATTACGGAAGAGGATTAGGGACACTGGGGGAAAAAAGTGGGCACGTCTTTTTTTTTTTTTTTTTTCTTGATTTTTGAAAAAAAGTTCGGATTTTTGTTTTTTTTTTCAGAATTCTGACTTTTTTCTCAGATTGTTTTTCCAGTGGCCCTAATCCTCTTCTGTACTGCATAGAGTACCATGAAAAATAAGAAAAATCTCAGTTTGGTTCATCAAAAAATGATAAAACTGTTAATGCAAGAAAAGCATAATCTAACCACAACCATAAAAAAGTATTATGGTTAAGGTTATTCAATTAAATGTCAAATTATTCAAGGCTGTATTCTCTCTAAATTATTGCATTATTTCTAAAGTTACAAGTACACAATTTCCTCTTATGACCACTAAAAAACCTCATTTAGAGGGAATGAAAATAAAGGTCCTACTGTAGAAACACATGCAACAAAGTGAGTGTGCACGTGTGCACGTGTGTGCATGATCACTGAAACAAAACTGAGTGCAACTGAGAACACTCTTATAAAATAACCCATGAACATTTAAACTTCCTCATTTATTTCTTTATTCAAAAGTATGGAAAGAGCTGCCAGGGGAAATAAAAAGTCTGATGAAACTTTAAAAAGGCTACAAGAGCAGAGGTGGCCAACTAAAACTATGTGAAAACACAGTTGCAGGACAAATTGGGAAATAAAAAGTCTTGGGAAATTGGGAATAGAAATTGATTCATAACACTAATCAGAGCCGCAATGGTAGTCCTACTAAGATCACACCACAGACAGCAGAGGTGAATATGAGAAGGGAAAGCGCTTCAGACTTGGCACAGGGATTATCAATGGAAGTCAGTGTTTCTGTGACAGTGTGGACAATGTTAAGGACATTGCACAGTGTCAGTCTCAGCGGATGGCGTCTGACGCTTGTTTGCTATTCAGCACAAAACTGCAAGATTCAATTTAGCTATAGAACATCAACATATATTTGATGACTGGATAATCATTGTTCAATGAGCTCCTCGTGATCTTGACCAACATAAATATATTTGGCATCAGGATGTTTGGCACAAAGCTCGCCAGGACTACCATATTGTCTCAACACTGAAGTACAGAGGTGGGGGGACAGGAGCATGACTTTTATAGATGGCACCGTACATCCTAATGGATTTACCAAACTATGGACTGAAAAGACAACATAGTACCACATAATTACTAGTTACAGAAGTAAAAGGACTCAAATTACCACAAAGTTTATAAAATTTGGCTCAAATGTTAAAAACAGATTTGTATACAAATTTTATCAGAAGTGTGGCTTTGCTAAACCAGAGAATTCTTTATTATTGTGAAAAGGAGATATGATAGATATGAGGCACTTTGCAGCATATCTTAGCAAATACATATCAAATTTAAATTTTAAAAAAGTTGTTTTCAAAGAAATATCACAAGTCAAACCAGCTCCACATATTTTTCTACATTCAGAATCTTTTTTCAGAGTACAAAAAGTTAATAGACACATGAAAAAGTTTCTGAAAATTGTAGGAGATATTAGGAAAATGTCACAGCTGCTACAGCTGGGACACATCTCAGTATAGAACTTTGACAAATACAGAAAATATTTGCCAGTGATTTCCACTTAAATGTTCCCATAAAACACAAAAGTAAACTAAAGCCAAATTATTTCTTTATACTAACACATATAAGATCATTTTAAAGAGCAGAGCTTGTCACTGATCCAGAAGCCTGAGTTTTTTAAGCGTATATATTTGTGTCCCGTGAAAATTTGTGACGTTCACTCCTAAAACCATTCGACCTGTGAATTTGGTCATTTTCTTTCCAAAGAAATTACCCCGCCTACGTGGAAATTTAGCTCTAAAACCTGTTGAAATGCGGGCTGGTTCTAAAAAGGTATCAATTTAAAACTTGCTTTAACATAATTTCAATAACTCTTGGACTTTACATAGATTCCAAATGAGTTTTGTTTTCAGCAACGAAGTGACAAAAACTGAAAAGTCTCATTTTGAGCTACTATATTTATCTGACATTTGAAATGTTTGAACAAGTGGGAGGGTTAAAGATTAGCTGATTTCTTTCTCTCTTTTTTGACAATTCAAGGTTAAAAGTTCAAGTAAGAGGAGCTATTTATATATTTTTTTCTTATCATTAAAACCAGAGCATCTATTCCTGTGACACTAGGACATAAAGCAGGGCATGCACGCGACAAACACGGGACAGTGGGGAGCAGGCAAGCACATGTAGATGAGAAAGACGCATGTGGCACGAGGTTCAGCCAAGAGCGCCTGGCAGCACCAGCTCATCCTAATCCACGTGCTTCCAGGGGACAGGGGACCACATGCTCATGTCTTGCATTACAGCCAGAACTTGAATTACATATTCTTTCCATTTATCATGATAGGTTTCTCAACAACTAAAACCTTCATATTAACACGAACGTTTTAAACAGTTCAAAAGAACAGATGATTTATTTTACTTTAAACAGGCATGACTAGAAAGTATACTGAAAGTATTCTAACCATTCATTTTGAAGGAAAACTGAGGTGTTTAATTTAGAAATGAAT